GGACGGAAACGAATCACTCGTCTTCACATCTGGCGTGGTGTGCCAAAGCACTGCATTACAGGCTTATAAGTTTCATGCACTTTTAGAGCACTTATATTCGGTATGTACGACACGTCCGTACATACTCTGCATCATGTGCAATTTGACGTGCTCGTACGTGTTGCATAAGCGTGCTCGACAGCTGAGTTTCAAATCTTTAGCTCGCACATGCAAAGAGAGCGCCCCTGCAGAGTTTCAGCTTTGCACTTTGCCTGGTTCGCGAAATCGCTTTCCGCCGAAGAAATCGCATATTTTTTCAGGGGTCCGTACTCGGGATCCAGGCGCGAGGAGCGAAAAGTTTAAAACGGGAGGATGACATGCAAGTAGAAAGATATGTCCAAAATTTCTGCTTCCCGTCTTTCCTGGTTGCTGAGATGAAGATGGTGACAAAGTTGACTCGCTTCCGAACACACACATAGACGACCTCTCAACATTATGCGTTTTTACTGGTACAGCAAAAACGCATGAAAGTAAGGACAACATACTGCAAGTGGCAGAATCGTTTGAATCAGCATCGCAAAAGACACATGAATCCAGTGGCACAGGCTGCTTATGGACAACATAATGTTCCGATTTTGTCAACTGCGTCGTGCCTTTCTAAAAAGCAAAAAAATCTGTAAATTGGAAGCAAGTGCCATTTATTTTAGCCATTTTCACATCTTTCTCCTTAGGCCCCCTCTTACAACGCTATTGCTCCATTTTCAAGAGCAATGTGGACTTTTTCTAGCTTCAAAAATTTGCATATTATTAATTTTAAGCGCATATCAAGAATATCAGGACCACCCGGACTATCAATGAGGGCATCAACTGATTTATGATCTCAAACACATAGCAACTGCAAAGATTCTTCCCAAGTGCCTTAACTGGCTGGAAAATTGGGTTTACTCTGCGTTCTCTTTTAAGACAACGTAGATAAAAGACTCGAAATTTTTCATTTGAAATTTGATTCAAAATAGAGAAAATACCTTGATCTTAGTGTACTTCTTGATTTTTGTCAGAACAAACATATCATTGAACAAGAATGCATAACAGTCACATGTCCTGCCACTTTCTAAAAATTTAAATTTGTTTCAATTAGCAGGTCAATTTCTACCTGTTAATTGTTGAAAACAAATCAGTTGTGACCTATGCAACTTCTTTATTGAAATATAGATCGTTTGAAAATCTCTTAGCTGTAAATACAGACAGAACATGGGATGTGAGGAGGAGTGAGGGTCGTCAGTGCAATCTTCTACTAGCCTTGTAAGAAGGTACAGATTAAAGGAGTTTTTTAAAATCTTTTTAAAATCATTTTTTAATTCCTTTTTTATAAAAAAAAACGGTCTTTTTCTAAAATCTTTTCCTAAAATCCTTTGCCTCCTCCCCCATTTCCCTTTCCTTCTTCATCCCACTATTATTCCATCTGACCCACTATCAGGTCGTTGTTCCATTTGCTTCTTTCTGCCTTCTTCCTCTTTTCTTTTACTTTTCCATTAAGCAGTGATATATGTCTTAACAGTGGGGATCCTGCCGCGCTGTTGAGTTAAGGCATATATCACTTAATGGACAAAACGTCTTATCTCACTCTTATCTCCTTTCCCCATATTATAATTTATCGCACTTTCACCATTTAAGTTTCGAGAGTCAAGATGGTTGCTACAACCTGCCTAAACAATTAAGACAAGGAAAATACAAGAAATTTGCAAAAAAGTTACACCAAAACGACACAGACTTGGAAGAAATTAACTTTCACATGACACTGACATACACTGTTCCCGGGCGGAGATTGTACGTCTAAGGACTGCCGATTGACAAAAATCAGTACTTTAGATCGAACACGTCAACTTTTCTGGCACCGGCTTGCAGCAAATGTCACCAAATATGAGGCATGGAGAAAAAAACCTGTATAAAAGCATGAATCAGTTTACGCCTCGGATGGGCCAAAAGATTATAGTTTCAGGAAAACCTAACATGAAATATACGCAAGCTGTCCCACACAAGTGTATGAATTTGAAAGAAATAACATATTTGA